TATTTAATGTACACATACAATGTCCCCAGGGACCCATGTGAACTATTTAACAAGAGGAGACACTTCAAGTGGGAGAAATCTTCATCGGCATGTGATGACCAGACCAGTACTTCACCTTAGCTTACTTCACAACTAGAACACCTCTGATTTAGAAGGAACCATCACAGTACAGGGATAAATCTCTCCTGTGGAATTTTGGAAGAGGGCACTTGATTAGGAGGAGAGAAACATGTTACTGTTGGTATCAAGACTAAAATGGTGACCACCCCTCATGTTGCTTACTGCTTCCCCAGAGTCAAGTGTCCTATAAGAACTGTGCATCTCCTAGCAGGCAGGAACTTCTTGGGCAACTGATAAACTGATATTTACCCAACTACCTAAGAGTTTCCCCACCAATATTAACCCTGCCTTCATTCCCAACTCACTCTGGAAACGTGGAGAAGATGTGGCAACTATAAACCCCATCCTGCCTAAACCCGGACAAGTATCAACACCCTGGGCCAAAGTTTCTTCACAAACCCTATGTAGCAGTGAGAGCCAAATTCATTAGCAAAGATCGTAAAACTACTTTTCTTAATTTAATAACTATAATTTATAACTTTCACTGAACCCTAGACAAATTATTAATTATCTCTGGTCTTCAGTTTCCTCATCATAAAATGTAGCTCATACTTCCCTTATAAGGTGATTTATATGTACAGAGCCCAATACGACGCCTAACATACAGCAGGTATTAGATAACAGGTTGCTTTTATCTAAGAAGCAAAAGTCTGTAAAAAGAAGGTAAAAGAAAATGTTTGAGCTTGAAAATAAATCTGCCAGGAATCAGATACTTAGTGGTACTCAACCAAAGGAGTTAGAAACGTGTGGTTGAAGAAGGTCACTGGTAAAGATGAATATGCAAAGCTAAGGTATTTAGTGAGAGAGGGCCAACGGTCATATAAACATGCCCCACATAGGGAAGAACTGTCCACACAACATGCCAAGAACACCTCTCTTGACTCTGAGAGAGTACAACCAATCTAAAATGGGGGAAGGGGGTCCACTTTATAAATTATTAAATGTGGCAAAAAGCCTTTTTGAGGAAGAGAAATGAACTGAAACATGTTATTATGAAAATAAAGAGAATGGATTCTTTCTAGAGAAGACCATCTAAAGACTATAGAAGAGATCACCCACCAAAAACAAAAGCTTTGTTATTAAAACAGAAAGATGAAACGCTATTGAATAGTTACCTAACTTGTCCAAGTTTGTGCACAGGCAACCTAGGCTTTCTTTCCAAACTCTTACCACTATAATACACTCTATGAGTTTGCAAACTAAGAGTGAACAGAAAAAATGGGAAGAGCCAATCATGGTTAACAAGGCAGTTTATTATTTTTTTAATGTGCATAGTTGTGGTTTTATGTATATTATATTCACATTCTGCCAGTAATTTACCATCTCTGCTATCAGAATGTGTTATAATCAACAGTAATCTGGATTCAATGAAATGTGGTAGTTTGTACAATGGAATTAAATTCTTTACTAGAGAAGATGAATTGTTTGCAAACTACTCCACAAAGCAGTGGAGGTCATCAGAGCAGGCAAACACAGGTTAAGGAGGCTCCCAATTTAACAAAAGCAGTTTCATTTTTTTTTTTTTTAATGTTTATTTATTTTTGAAAGAGACAGAGCACATGAGAGTGAGGCAGGGGCAGAGAGAGAGGGAGACAGAGGAACCGAAGTGTGCTCCGCGCTGACAGCAGCAAACCCAACATTAGGGCTTGAACTCAGGAACTGTGAGATCATGACCTGAGCCAAAGTCAGATACTTAACCGACTGAGCCACCCAGGTGCCTTAAAACCAGTTTCACTTTTATGTTTCCCCTTTTTTCGAGAGGGCATTCATATATGCTTATTTGTAAAGGAAAGCATTCTACTGATTTAAAAAAATGCTTTGAAAATCATGGAACCAGATAAATTATTGAGATCTCTTGAAGATATTAGATTTCACAAAGTCCTAAGAAACAACTCCGATTATATGACCAAGAAAAGCTTTAAATTCTTTACTGCCTCCAAAGCTAGTATATTAATACTCTACCAACTTCTAGAATTTGAGAGGAATGTTACAAGTATAAATTTTAATGTCCCAAATAGAGATAATTATTTTTATCTTAACAATAACACACACACACACACACACACACACACACACACACACACACACACAGAATTCTCGAACACCAGAGAACAGTAAGAAGCAATATCTCTGGATCAAAGGGATTTTTTTTTTTTAAGTCACGTATGCAGTCACACCCCTCCCTTAAAAACACTGACATTCATTTAAAAAAATCTCCACTCCACTCCGCCTGCATTGGGCTCAGCTTTTCGAAGTTACAAAGATAAATTAAGACATGTATCACCTTAAGTTTTAAAGGTGATATATGAGACATTCATCAAATTAACTGGGTAGAAAGAGGTAAAGTGCCAAAGAGAGGCAAGGGAGCAAGAGGTAAAGAGAAAATGCAATGGAAAAAAAAATGCAATGGGAGCTCAGCAGTGGGAGAAATCAGTCAACGCTTGAAAAACACAAATTTGAACTGTGTGGGTCCACTTATATGTGGATTTCTTTATAGATATAGATATAGATATAGATATAGATATAGATATAGATATAGATACAGATATACACACACACACATATATATACATATTTTTATTACTGTAAATGCATTTTCTCTCCCAATTTTCTGAATGACATCTTTTCTCTAGCTTACTTTACTGTAAGAATACAGTATATAACACATATAACTACAAAATATGTGTTAATCGACTTAATGTTTTAATGTTATCAGTAAGGCTTCTGGTCAACAAAGTTATTAGTAAAGTTCTGGGGAAGCCAAAGATTACACATGGATTTTCAACTGTGTGGGGGTGTCAGCACACCTAACCCCCCACGTTGTTCAAGGGTCAACTGTATTTCCAACTGTGCAGGTACAAAGGTTTTTAGAAATGGCCTGAAAAGAGAGTCCAGAAGGAAAGGGACAAATAGTTTCTGCATTCTAATACATGATTGCATATTCATTTGTTATTCGACAAATAATTCACGGTCTAGTAGGAGAAAAGGGTAAGTAAACAAACACCTAAGGGCACCTGGGTGGCTCAGTCTGTTAAACCACTGGATTTTGGCTCAGGTCATGATCTTGCAGTTCATAAGCTCGAGACCCACATCAGGCTCTGCACTGTCAGAATTCTCTGCCTGGAATTCTCTCTCTATTCCTCTATCTCTGCCCCTCCCCTGCTTGTGCACGCTCTCTCTCTCTCTCTCTCTCGCTCTCTCCCAAAATAAAAAAATAAACTTAAAAAAAAAGAAACACCTAAAATACAATGTGTTAATAAGTATAACCAAGCCTGTGCATAATATTAATGAAAAAAGGAGGGATGGATTTCCATGGAGCAGTGAGGAGAGTGAGCAAGGCAGGAAGGGGGAAGAAGCAATGGTGACTTCATCAGGGCCCCAAGGATGAGCAGAAGTTTAATGGAAAGAAGAAAAAAGGGATTTCTGGCCATAGGAATATGAGCAAGAGCAGGGAGAAGTGAAAGCATGTGGCGTCTTTGGGGGCTGGCTGTGGGGGAGTGAAGAGGAGACCGAAGATGAAAGTGAAAACGAGGCCAGATCGTGAGGAGCTTTAAGCCCCATGCCAAGGGAGTTGGCTCCATTACAGTAGGCACGAAGGTTCTAGGCAAAGAATGATGTCACATAAGCACTATGAGACACCCTTTCTAACATTAAAATTTCTTGAGGCTATAAAAATATATAAAGTTTCCACTGGCTGCAAAAACACATAGAAGAACACTGATTCCAGGACCCCCTGAACTCACTCCAAAGATCCAACTGGCCTTGAGTCCACTTAGGAACTCCCTGAGGGCAGTAACTATTTACCATTTATTTTTCTTTGGATTACCAGGACACGGGACATAGTGGAACCAACAGGAACTGATTTGTAATGAAGGACAGTAAGACAGAACAAAAGATGACCCCAACGATCCTGCCTGATCACCTCAGTGGGGTGCTGAGGAGAAGAATGTAAGTTTTGCCTGGGAATATTAAGATTCGGAAACCTACAGGATGCCCAAATGTTCTGTCCATAAGCAGTTCAAACACAGGTTTGGAGCTCCAAAAAGAGTCTGCAGCCACAGATATGAATCTGAACATCGCCATGTAAGCTGTACTGCTGACAGCTGAACCCGTGTGGATGGATGAGGTAACTGAGCAGGAACAGGACCCAGCTCAGAATCTAGGAATCTCAGGGCAAAGATGAGACTAGACAGAGACAGAGAAAGATCATTCAGGGGAGGAGAAACAAGACTGATATCGTGTGAGTCTAGGAAGGTCCACAATTCAAAAAACATTTGGAGTACGGTGCCCAACGAGAGGGTCAGTTAGTGCGAAGACTACGTGCCTATTGGATTTGTAAACTGGGTAGTCTGATTTTCATTTCACTGGAGCGGGTAAACAACAGACTAGGCTGAAGAACAGATGAAAAAGGGAAGAGACAGTGTAGCTCACTCTGCTCAAAAAGTATGGCAATAACGAGAAGGAGTGAGAGGTGTCGACAGGGCCTCAGGTTGGGAGAAGAGTGCACATTTTGTGCATTATCTCTTTTCACATGAGTTCTATCTAGAGACTCTGAGAACAAGGACTGCCTTCAGTATTCTTACAGCATCTACTAGATTATATAAGAAAAAGAGCAGCACTACTAAATCACTGTTTAGAATGCAAGATATATATATATCTCATGCACTTTGCTAAATTTTAACTAACTTCCTCGTGTAAAAGGGAGAGCACTAGACTGAATCAATTAGTCATTAAATTCAAGTCATTTACCTGCATGGGGTGACTGTTTAAAAGAGGCCATGCCTTGTTATGTAATTTGACAGGCTCTGTGAGCAACACTGGGAATGATGGAAGATATTACCTTAATTCCTTCACCCTGGGCTGCACAAGGACATACTCACCTCCATAGTAGAGTCCTGTAGCAGTGCACATCCGCCACTGTCCCTGATACATTCCTGCTCTGCTGGGGCTGCACATCTGGACGCTGACATCTGCAATCTCTTGGGGCTCTAGCGATCTCACCATCACCATGTTCACATGTCCAAATTGGTCTCCCCCGACATATTTAAGACAAACCCCTGGAGGCCAGGCCTCTGCCCCTGAGTTCAAGCAAAAGAAAAAAATGTTAGGCAATTAGTGGTCCTATGCCGGGTGCAGTTCATTACACAATTGCAGAAGAGGCCTCTTTCTCGGTCTTTCACACATACGTGAACCTAGCCACATATCCTTGAGCTAGATAATGTCACAAGACTGATCAGAAGGATTATCAGAGTTAACAACCTCTGACCAACAGTCTATCCCTAAGATAAAGGACATATGACCAAAGCAAGGCAGTTCCTCAAGAAGATGTGTTTCAGGGGACCCCAGGGAAGGCCATACGTCACACTGAATCCATAGAACCTAAGAATGATGTCCAGGAAGAGCCATGGAAATGAAGCACAGGCCCACATCTTCGGAGGCCTGTAACACATGCCCATTTTCACTTGAACTTTTTAAGCTGACATTCAAAGTAAAAATACATACATCTGATTGTCCCTACTTTTTCTATCAAGGCAAGAGGATGAAACACATGAGGAATAATTCCTGTATTATTTTCATTTGAAAACATTTCCCCTGATGTATGACTTTTCTTCTGGCGTCCGTAACTATGAAAAGACCAAGGTTCAAGAGACTCTGCAAAGACAAGACAGAGGAGTCAAGTGAAAGTTTCTTTTTCAGAATCTAATAGTAGTGGGGAAAATAGGAACAGGTAACTCCCCTCGTTAATAACACAACGAACTGTGGTCTCAGGGGGGATGACAGCAGCCAGACATACTTGTATAAAGGATAGGAATGGCAATACAGAGAAAAGGCATTAGCTGGAATATCTTTCCTCCTTTGGAAGTGACAAAGATCCTATTTGCGTACCTCTTCCTGTGTACCTGTTTTCATGAAAACGAATTCAAAATGAGAAATCCATATACTTTGTTCTGACAAGTCATAGGGCCACACAGTGACTAGAGGTTATCTTTCCTGTGAAGTTTCTCCAATATACTCCTTTTTTTTGCTGTAGACAGAAACCTCTATATATCTTTTGGGGGGATATATACATTCATTATAAAAATACACCACTGTGAAAAGATAGATATGGCCAGACTCTCAGGACAAAGCACGCTTGAAATTTCTCTTCTAAGAGTATTCTAGCATGCCTTAGTACCTAGTTCTCAAAGTGCCAGACTGGTTTTGATATACCTGATGACTCACGATCGAAAAAGGAACCAGAGAAAAAAGCAGCTACAGCTCCACTGCTGAGACCTCAGCCCCATCATGAATAGCACACTCCGTGGCTCCTGGGTCTTAAGGGGTAGCAGATGAAGCAACAGGAGCTATGTTTTGTCACACACTCCTAAAAAACACACCTGCCGGCAAAGTGCCCTCCCAAGTTAACACCACAAAACGCAGGTGCTGCCGGTGGAAAGGCTGTAGATGATACCCTGGCAATACATGCAAATTCTGTTTTTCATTTCTGGGGCCTATGGCCTTGGCAAAAGCATATTTGTCTTAGGTCGAGAATAGAAGCAGCTGGCATGAAGCACCTTGGAAAATGTCAGTCTTTCTAAAGACCAAGATCAAGAGGAAAATTACACTACTGTTTTAGGGTCAAATTCACAATTTTTCTTTCAAACACACACCCATACACACACACACACACACCTGAAACAAGACAACATCTATTTGTATGAAAACCCGAGAATGTATCTGTTTTTGAATGTCTAAGAAAATAAGGAAAACAAGCCTGTCTACATGTGGGACATACTGGGCTGTCCTGAGCAGACAACCACAAACAACCCAGTCAGTCAGATCTGTCAGCTACACGAAATAGGGAGTGCTGCCATACTCCAGAGGAACGGAGTTCACTGGTAAACAGTAAATGATCAACAAACTATACAGTTACAGTCCTCATCTTTTTTAGTACACCAAATACTCTAGTAATGTGTTACCTAGAGGCATGTAGAAGAAAAAACTGGATGAGTTATCCACCATCAACTCCAAAGTGTTAATCTGCTATAAGTGAAGAACCAATCATTTCCCTTCTGAGAGTTACCAATAGAGAGTTCACAACCACAACATACAGTTTTACAGCCTGTTAGGATAGGTAAACTCTAAAGAGATCAAAGATACCGGTTCTTAATACAGAGGAAAGAGAAATACTGGTGACCTGTATCGACTACCAGCATACCTAAAATCTGGATTTGAGAAATATAATACAACACGGTTTCAAATTAAGTCTCAGTTACAAAATGGCTTAATGGGGGATAGATACATCTAGAAGAAAAGAAAGACTAATTTGTGTTTTATAACTTCCCAAGTTAAGTACCATAAGCACGTATAGGATCAAGGCTGTGATTCTCCAGGTATTGTGGAGTATAATTTTATTCAAACAAATAAAAAGTAAATACGAAACAAAAAAATTCTGCAATATGGTAATTTTGAGATGATAGAGAACATGGCAAAAATGAGATAAAAGTCTTATCAGTTCCAGAAAGCCTGGGCTTACTAGGTATAAATAATTATAGAAATAGTTTGGAGACAGTAAGGAACATCCAAAGAGCAATGAGGAAGTAAAAAAACCTCAGTGAAGCTCCTCTATTCTTTTTAACCCCCATAAGCTTGGAGATTACATTTCAAATTAAGCTACATGCAAACAGGGCCTTTCATTGATCTTGTCACTATTTGCTGAATGGATGAAGCAGAATTACCTTCTCTATAGTCATACTGAAGAGAAAAGTAGAAATTAAATATTTTAAGGAGCCAAAAGAAAAATGGATAAAACAGTTGTTCTTTCTCAAGGACTTTTCTTAACCCTTGTTTTATGTTCACAAAAAATAAAGTTGACTCTGAAGCCACTTTCTCACATCACAATCTCAACTACTTCACCAAAGTCCACGAACACCAGAGTTTACCGTAACATGCTCAGCTTAACATTCACTACAGTTGGACAATAAAGCATGGCTGTAACAACTGGGAAGCTGTAAGTGTTGGTAAGGAAAATTATCTACTTTCACCATGGAGGGCAGTTTCAAATTTTTACTTTCCATTTTAATGCTAAGATTTCCTGATTGAGTTTCCCAAGCTTCTAGTACTTATATAGTGCCAAAGGTTTGGATCCTGGGATTCTGCGTCTGTCATTAAATGTCTCGCTTCTGTTTTTCTATGGTCTGAAACCAAGGATTTAAACAGTATTAAAAGTTGAATTTTAAACAATGTGTGACATCCATCTTCTTTGGGAAAACCGTTGGGACAGCTATATGCAGTTCCTATCAATCTCACCTGTTGTATATTTGAATGCTTGGCATGCCTAAAACATAACAGCAGAAAGATGCCATGAAAATTATTTGTGAAACTATTTCAGTGAGCACTTATCTCTTAGAGAAGGTTATGAATGAGAGGAAAAGAGTCAGAGGAGAAATAGCTAAGGCCTGCCCTTCTTCTGTGTTACTCTATTTCCAGAAAGAACTCAGGCCAGATTAGAATGATGCTAAAGAACCAGTACACGTGCATGTTTTCCCTCTTACTCTTTAAGAACATACCAATTCGTTAGTTATGGGACGCCAGTTTCTCCTCAATCAAATGGAAAGTATTTAGTGTACAGATACAATACTATTTTACAACTGGATGAACAATTTCCAGAAGGATACAAAAATCTACATGTTTAAAGTAACCTGAAAGGTAAAATCTCCAGCCAACTGCTGTCCAACTTTTCAAGAGGTGTTCAAGCAAAAAATGTCCTTTCACAGGAAGAAAGACTGCAGACCCAGAAGCTACTTTAAACTGGAGATACTACACAAAAGTAGGCAGAAAAATGCAGCCAGGCCCACCAGTACAGATTCTCTCCAAGTCAAGATGAAAGGCAGGCTCTTTGGGGCTCTGATTTGACATTCTAGACATTTTAGATCAATCTCTCCCAATCACTGTCTAGTGAGTAAGTGGATGTATCAAGAGCCTTTCTGAAATACAAAATGGTTTCTGCAACCAAACAGTATTTTAAATATTTCAACAGTACTCTAAGGACTTTCAATATTTAAAAACGCAATGAAGAACTCATGGAAAGCCTGACCATTTTCAGTGTTTTCAGTACAAATAAAAGAGGTCTTAGATTAAATTTTTTCATGAAATAAAACGTATCCATGTATAGGTTTCAAAAGGAGTTTTGACCAGCAACACAACAGGTTTTAGTAATTCAGAGCAGAAATATGATGAACAGAAGCTGAACTAAAGAGGCTGTTATAATATTTTTAAAAGCCCACAACATTAAGAAAAGTGAGAAAGAAATCAGACCCTCTCAAAAGGGAAAGAAATTAGACAAAAATAAACGACCTTTAAAAAAAAAAAGAATTTCATGGGGCGCCTGGGTGGCGCAGTGGGTTAAGCGTCCGACTTCAGCCAGGTCATGATCTCACGGTCCGTGAGTTCGAGCCCCGCGTCAGGCTCTGGGCTGATGGCTCAGAGCCTGGAGCCTGTTTCCGATTCTGTGTCTCCCTCTCTCTCTGCCCCTCCCCCGTTCATGCTCTGTCTCTCTCTATCCCAAAAATAAATAAACGTTGAAAAAAAAAAAAAAAAGAATTTCAAAAAAAATAGAAAACATGGCTATTTTTCCATATTACCATGTGACTCTCAAACTAACGATGCCCCACACCATTGTAACCAAAAGGGAGAAGAAGCTACTAAAAATTTTATAAAGCCACGAATGTCCCCTATCATCTACAACACTGGGGTCAATCCAGACTATATTCATTTCCTCAGTGGCATACTGAACCTCCATCCAAGGGAGAGTTACTTCTAAATAAGCCAGAAAAACTAAGAATAACAATTTGGTACATTATATATAAAAGGCTAGTGTAGTCAGTTTTTTCCCATCATAAAAAAATTACAGTCTAAAGAACTGAAAAGTAAACAGTCAATAAAAGGTCACTTTTACAGGTTTGAGTCCCAAGAGTTGAATCAGCTCACATCACACCTTGCTAGATAGGGTTCCCCCACATCCACAGATTTTTAGCTAAATATGCCTTTTGCCTAGTTTTCCATCTCTCAGAATTTCCCTGTTCCGTCCTTAGCAACAAGAAAGTTAAAGCATCCTCATCCAGTCAGCAGCATTGTTACTGGACGAAACTAGCAATACTAAACCCATTCAAATTTAAAAAGTCATTATAATAATAAGTAAAAGATAATTAACCGTTACCAGATACCATTTTCAAAGAACTACTGTTAACTTATTTTTAATTTTCCTTAAAGTCAGCAGTACATCAAAACAATGCTTTAAAAGAAAACTTCTCAATCTTTTCATCTTTCCCATTCTGAACAAATCCCCACATTTCTTACCCTATTTTTCAAAGTGGTATTAATGTTGTAGAGAGATACCTCAAGGAAATTTCATAAAGAATCATCCTTATGGTTATAAAGAAATGAGCTTTCAAAAGAGCAGATGCTCACAGCTCTTTCTAACTACCTTGTTCTATTCAAGGATGTACCTCCTCTAGTCTGCTGGAAAGAACTGGAAGATTAATTAGAGCAGAATTAAAATGATGGAGTAGAACTGTACAGGTGAAGATAATACCATCACCACACACAGGCCTAGCTCCTGGTATCAAATGAATATTGAATTGTTTAGAGGCCTCAACACTTAAATTGAAAGGAAAAAAAAAAGGATGAAAGATCTAAATTATTTTTCCTGACCTAAAGCAGGGGACATTTCACTGATGTTTGGTCATCACACCAGCATAAAAAAGTACTGTATCATGTATATGAAAAAGCTCAGAATTACAAAAGCACATTCCTGAAGCTAAAACATTTCCCTAATTCTTTTAACTACAGAACAACACAAAAAAACTGGGCAATGAAGAATTGCCTGTTATCCATTTACCAGAATTCTGGATCCGCCACGTTTTTATAAATTGAGTATCTGGAGGTATCGACTCCCCTTCTCCTATGGTGACATCTTCAACAAACGACATAGAGGGCACACTGATGTTTGGGCTCTCAAAGTCATAATAGGCGCCAATTGCTGCTTGTAGGTTCCTATAAACAAAAAGAAAAGACAAAAGACTTTAGTCCTGTCCAGAGTATATTATCCTGATTGTCAAACAAATGGAAAAAGCTTACTTCTCAGGACTTGTTATCGAACCGAAGGCTCTTGGTATATAAATCTTCAGAGCCACCGATTCTGGCTGAGGAACAACAGGGAAAAACCCAGGACTAACAAACCTGTGCAACACTTTTCTCCCAGGGTGCCCACATAAAAAGTAAGAAACATTAGCATCATCAGCAACAATATGAAGAAATCTTTTACCCACAAGGATAGCAAGTACGGGTAAAGAAAAAGAGAGCTCCTCTATAACTGTGCCTGGAATTCAAAAAAGCTCGATTTTAAAAAACATTCCAAGTACTTAATTTTTTGAAAAGGCAATACATGCAGATGGTTCAGAAAGTTTTGTACAGTGAAAACTAGCCATCTTATCTCTTCTTTCCTATACACACATACCCATAATTGTTCATATCACTTTCTTAAATACCCTTCCAGAACTTCCTTATGCATATACAAGCAAATGATATTCTTTCTTCTTCCCCTTTTACACAATTAGTGATATATTATACATTGTCCTTTGCTTTATTCCCTTTATTCCCATGAAGACAGTCCTCTATCAGTACATAGCGAATATTGTTTTTTATAGCTGTATCCAATGTACAGATACATCATTACTTACGTAACGAGTCCACTTATGAGTTTGTTTCCAATCTTTAATTCTTCCATAAATAAGCTTAAGCACATATCGTTTATATGCAATATATATATAATATATAAAATATATATGTGTATATATATATATATATATATATATATGCAAATGCATCTGTAGGATAAATTCCTATAAGTGATACTGCTAGGTCAAAGAGCATGGATGTGCAGTTTTAATAGATGTATCTAAACTTCCCTCAATAAAGCTGTACACTTAATGAATGCTCCCACCAAGAATGTATGAGAGTGTATATTCCCTCATTTGTTCATCAACAGTGTTCGTCCAAAATTTTAGATCTGTGTCAATCTGACAGGTAAAAGGGAAGATCTCATTAAGGCCTTAAAATGGTTTTCTCTTGGGGTGCCTGGGTGGCTCAGTCAGTTAAGCACCTGACTCTTGATATCAGCTCAGGTCATGACCTGGTCATGGGATCCAGCCACGTGTCAGGCTCTGTGCTGGGTGTGGAGCCTGCTTGGGATTCTCTCTACCTCTTGCACTGCCCCTCAACCGTTAGCGTGCGCGCGCGCTCTCTCTCTCAACATAAATATTTTAAAAATAAATAAAAAATTAAAACATTGATGTTTCTTATTTTAAGATGGTTTTATATTATTACTAGAAAGGTTAAGTATCTCTTACATGTTTTTATAAGCTTTTGTAGTTTCTGTTTTGGAAGCACCATTTTGTAAATGTTGGTGTTCTTTTTAATTACTCATAAACCCCCTTATGTCAGAAGGAACTACCAAGCATACAAACCAGAGTCCCTAATTGAACAGAAACACATGATTGACAGCGTGTTCATCCATGACAGAAACCAAAGGCCACTAAGGGGTTTGAGCAAGCTGTATTCATTAGAAAGATCAAAGAAATTGTTAGTAATTACATTAACTGCTCCTCTTAAGGTCTTACTTAAACTAGTGACATCATCTCCAGTCCCCACAGTAGACAACAACACAAATTGCATTTTTCTAAACATAACCCAAACATAAGCCAATGGATCCAGTGGGTTGTTTTTAATTATACATAAACATAGCATGAAATAAGCTCTGACAGTATACAACTGTTCAACAGACATACTATTAACAGCAAATACTTTTCTGCTGGGGGCCTGCCTGCTCCTCCAGGTGTTTGCAGCTGCCAGAAAGGAGGGCTATATTTAGAGCAGCTGTCTCAGGTCAAGTCTCATGCATTGGTGGCCTGTCATATTAGTCAGTATTGACTGGAATTACACCACCACCAACTGCCTGCCTGTTGTGTGTGTACTATATAAAATATACATGCAGCAGAGCTGGGCCAGGGGCCAAACTGTTTGCTTGACTATTCAATAGAAAGGCTTGGACTGTTGTGTGTGTACTAGATAAAATATACATGCAGCAGAGCTGGGCCAGGGGCCAAACTGTTTGCTTGACTATTCAATAGGAAGGCTTGGACTTTAGTCTTCTCAGCAACTTCCTTCGCTAGCTGACTGTGATCCAAAATGAGTAATACGTGACTGGTCAAACCTGGGGACGCCCAGCCTCTACCACCCACAAACAGGCCTTAGGAGTGTATCTGGAATCAGTCTTACACTTAGGAATCAGGGATAAAATGAGGAAAAGAAAAATAAGCCTAGTTTGCATTTTGTTCTTCTGAAAACTCTGTGTAAAAGCTATGTGCCCACCCTTTTATAAAGATGATTTTTCTGCCACAGAACTCCAGCAAGTAGCCTGCTGAATTGTTTTCTGTTCACTTGGCTGTAAAATATGCTCGGGAGGGAAGAAACTATTTGTGCACTCAGGACAATTGCCAATTCTCATCCCCAGCATGTGTCATATTTCACCACTTGGCTCTGCCTGATATCAGAAAGGACTTCAAGACCACTGCAGCAGAAACATGAATAAGTTCAACTACCTTAGGCAGATCTGTCCCCCTAACTCAAATCTTGTTTCACACAGACCAACTCATCCCACAGCTAAGTCAACAAAACCATTCCTTTGTACCTGTATTATATACATAATTCAGCCAGAGAAAGATTAAGAAACACTTTTAAATCCCAAAGTGAAAATGAAAGTACTAAACTGGACTCCTGGCAGGAAGCAGGAGTAGAGGATGACAAAGCAAATTAACTTCCCAAGTACAAGGCCAAGAGTGGACTTTAGCCCAGTGGCGCTCTAACCCATATGGCAGGTACACAGTTCAAAATGTGGGTACACAGTTTCTCCCACTTGGACCACTTAGATCACTGCCTGACTGGACCAAACAACGGCAGAAATAGACCAAACAGCTCCAATTCAACGTGAGAACAAGTAGATATGACAGCATGTATTCCCGTTCAAATCAACATACTCAGCTATTATTAGCCAACAAGAAATTCTACGTGAAATAGAGCTGGCTGAGGAAATGGGAAAAGGGAGAACACAGACTCTGTATTCAGCCTAGTCTGAAAGTTTAAGCTTCCAGGTTCCTTCACTGTTTGCACTCGAAGAAGTTTTAACCTGATTTCAGATTAAACCAAAAGCACCCTGAAGAACAAAGGAAGGCAGTGTACCAACAGGGAAAAGGGCACAGGCCAAGATGATGGTGATGGCTGTGAATAAACTTAATGCCACAGAACTGTACACTGAAAAATGGTTAAAATGGCAAAATTTTACATTGGCTTTGTTTGGAGGCAGCTCCTACACCTGGCTGTGGGTCTTTGAACAAGGGGCTATGCATCTGTGTCCATTTACTCATCTACAAAGCTGAGTTTTTTGTATCAAAAGGCTGACTTATATTTTATATTACCAAGTTGGCATTATAGGGCTGGCTGTGCAGACTGCATGAGACAATGTGTGTAAATGCCTTAGGGTTGGTGTTCAACCAACATTTAATTATAAGCATTTATTCATGTGCTAAGCACTCGACCTGAGACTAGGGATACAACAGCTAGCAAGACAGGCGAGGCCCCTACCTTTACAAAGCCTATAGTCCAGCAGACTGCAGCAAACCAGGGACATTCAAAAAGGGTAACACCAACTGCCTCTCATACTGAGGCTATCAGCCCAAGGCAGCTTTTCCTACTTGAATAAAAAATGGGCTTGGTGCACAACAGCTTCAACTATTCTGATAATCAGGTTAACCTGATTCAGTGTAGAAGAATTTGGTGATGTTGATAAGTGTTCTCTCATGAAGTGCAGTTTTGTAACTCAGAAGCAATATTGCCAAACATTAATTTTATAGAGGAGGCCTTAATGCACTGACAGGTAAATAATTTGCCCCAGGCTAGACCGTCTATTATTAGGAGAATTTATTCAAAGGCATAAAACTTTTAACTTATCCAGAACTTTCCAATTACCTAGTAACACTCTGAACACTTTGTTTTCTTTTATACATATATGTGAAAAAATAATATTTTATTTATTTTATTTTATTTATTTAGAGCGAGCAAGTGAGCAGAAGGGGCAGGGAAAAGAGAGAATCCCAAGCAAGCTCCACACTATCAGCATGGAGGCTGATGTGGGCTTGAACTCACAAACCGTGAAATCATGACCTGAGCCTAAGTCAGACACCTAACCGACTGAGCCACCCAGGTGCCCCTGAACACCTGATTTTAAGAACATAATAATTACCATCACAAATTCTATAAACAAATTAGTTGTAACCTTCCCTTAAATTGAACTACTGAAAATGGTCAAGTATCTAATCTTGCAAAAATTCACAAACACAGAACATTTATTTTTATACAATGTATATACATACATAGGTCAGATTACTGATATTATGAAGAAAATTCATCTATGTGCTGCATATATAGTCAGGAACATCATCCAAAAATATGGAGGTAGAAAAGAGTTAAGAAATTCAGGAAATCAGAATTTAAGAGGGAGTCTCAAAAGTCTAAGTATTAGCTCAGATTCCCAGGAAAATAAAATTAGGTATCTTTTCTTTCCATTCTCTGAACAAAAAACTTAAAAAGATCCAAATTATTTAAGAGAAAAAGAAAACTACCCAAATTTTGGGCACAAATGGGAAATCAGAACAATGAACTAATCAAGTTAAGCACAAACAGTAGCATCTTTGGACTGTAAGCAATACTTATTCCAAACCACAAGAAGTTTCTCTCACCTTTGCAATGCCAATGACACTGCTACTAAGGCCACAAGCCCAGGAGTGTGACTGCAATGATCTCTGAATGACTGAAAAATCTGACTAGAAAAGGGATCAATAAAATAGGTAAGGGTCTCACTAGGGCTTTCCAACGTCAACTTGGAATTAAACACGGAGACCAGAAGAGTCAATAAGTAAGTACTTGTGACTACTGTGAAG